GCATGGTGAATATGGAATTTTAAATATCTCTTATTACCTTTCTCCTATCTTACCAGGGCTGACATCAGGATTGGTCCCCATGTATGTAGGGGAGATTGCTCCTACTCACCTTCGGGGAGCTTTAGGAACCCTCAATCAGCTGGCCATAGTCACTGGCATCCTGGTCGCCCAGGTAACCAGTTTTTACTTTTTGTCCTTACTGGGGGGTGGGGTTGAAATGTAGATAAAAGGAGGGTTTCAGGGAGATGGAAGGGTTGGGCCAGGAGAAAAGAGGTGGTGTTAGGGGTATAGGATGGGGGTAGGGGAAGGAGAAATAAGTTTCATCTCAAATCCTCTCTCTCTCCTTTCCCCTCCTCCCCCAGGTCCTGGGCTTGGATTCTATGCTGGGAACAGAGACGTTGTGGCCACTGCTGATGAGCTTGACTGTGCTTCCTACCCTCCTTCAGCTTGTACTATTGCCCTTCTGTCCAGAGAGCCCCCGATACCTTTATATCATTCGTAACCTGGAAGGACCTGCCAGAAAAAGTAAGACTCTCCCTCTTTCCAATGACAAAGGGACCCAAACATCTAAACCCCCATGCATCTGGCCTATCACCTTCCAACTGTTTTCCCTCAGGATCTCATTCAAGTTTCTACACCTCCATCTCTGTCTTCCTGATTCTCTTTTTCCTAAATCCCTGTTTTTGTTAAGGACCCAGGAATTTATCCTCCAGCCCTAGCTCCTCTTTCCCCTTCCCAGGTCTGAAGCAACTGACTGGATGGGCAGATGTATCTGGAGCACTAGCGGAGCTGAAGGAGGAGAAACGCCAGCTCGAACGGGAGCAGCCCCTTTCCTTGCTCCAGCTTCTCCGCAGCCGGACACATCGGCAGCCCTTGGTCATTGCTATTGTACTTCAGCTCAGCCAGCAGCTGTCGGGGATCAATGCTGTAAGGATGTACCCCAAGGACTAGGTACCCTGGGGAGAGGGCCAGGGACAGAAAGGTGAAGGAATAGAGACACATGGAGGAGTGGGTTTTGAGGTGGGGGAATGGCTCGTCATGGAACCAGAAACAAGTAGACTAGAGAATATATGAATTTGAAAGAGGAATGGGGATGGTAGAGGAGCTAAAACTTTTGGACAAAAAGCCTTTGAGGGTGGGGGGAAGTAAGGAGGTGTGTGTTTGTGTTTGTGTCAGGAAAGAAAAAGAACTAAGAATTATTAAATTCTGCAGCTACATAGCTGCAGAGACATGCTAGATAGAGGGATCAGAAAACTAGGACAGTATAAGATGGTTAGTAGAGGAGAGGGCTTCTCACTCATTTTTCATTTCCTTCTCCCCTACACCCAGGTTTTCTACTATTCAACTAGCATCTTCGAGTCAGCAGGGGTGGGGCAGCCAGCATATGCTACCATTGGAGCAGGCGTGGTCAACACAGCTTTCACTTTGGTCTCGGTAATAGCACTGATATGGGAGCCAGGTGGATCTTTTGCCCTTGAGCCTACCTCTCTAGCATATAAAGGTGTAGAGCTTGAGAGTAGCTCCCTCCTTCTTCCATTCTCTCATTGTCTGGACCTTCTTCCCTTTCTCCTTCATTCCTTCTCCCATTTTACTGTCCACTCAGGGACCAAAACTTAAGGCCTCTTGCTTTTTTATCCCCCCAGGTACTTCTAGTGGAACGGGCTGGGCGTCGGACACTACATCTCTTGGGCCTCGCTGGAATGTGTGGATGTGCTATCTTGATGACTGTGGCTCTTCTCCTGCTGGTGATGACCTTGGGCGAGGTTGGGGGAGGGGTGGAGAAATGTCAATGTCCACTTCTGGGGAGAGTCCCCACACTTAGGAAATGCCCGTGAAGCTCTAATCCCAAAGGAGGGGGATGGGGCATATAGCAATGCTATTTCAGAGACAGAAAGGGGATGTCATCATCTCCTCAATCCCTGTGCTATCCTTGGCCTTTCCAGAAGAGAGGAAACGAAGTAGTGTCTGAGACAGTCATCTCTCCATAGCTGTGGGGTTACTTGGCCTGTGGTTGTTTGAATCTATCATTTTCATCGGGGGTTAGAAGTAGTATAACAGGGCTTTGAGAAAAGTCTGCATTACAACTTTCAGCACTTCTGGAACTTTCATACTTTCTAGCCACCAGGGATCCCCCAGGAACTACTGGGGAACAGAGTCCCCATGTAACCCAGCAGCCAAATTATGATCATCAGATGCTCCTAGGAGACTCACTACTTATGGAGGGAACTGGCTGACCCAGATGTCACTGTGACTTGTATTTCCCTCAGTCCTCATTGGGATGGCTTTCAGAACTATAATTCCCCTAAAGGATCCAAGGGATTTCTGACCTAGAGGAGCTGGTACCCCAGCAGTGGAAGTTGTAGTTTTTTCTGAACAAAAATATTTGAGGAGTAGGATGTCAATGGATTGTCTCTGTCATCTCTGCCTTTCAGGAACGGGTTCCCACCATGAGCTATGCCAGCATGGTAGCTATCTTTGGCTTTGTGGCTTTCTTTGAGATCGGCCCAGGTCCTATCCCATGGTTCATTGTGGCTGAACTCTTTAGTCAGGGACCCCGACCAGCAGCCATGGCTCTGGCTGGCTTCTCCAACTGGACATGTAATTTCATTGTGGGTATGAGCTTCCAGTACATGGCGGTAAGTCCTTCCTTCCCCAACTCATATACAAACCGTACCCCACAGGTGAAATCCAGGTAGAGATTTTCCCATCAGATTGTTAACTGCAATGTAGGGAAGAGATACCCTAACCTCTTATTTTCTGGTTCTGTTATCTCCACCTCCCTGCCTGCCTCCCTGCTACCACCTGACCCTATTTATACGTATATGTGCATATATATATATATATGCACATATATGTATATATATATATATACACACACATATATGTATATATGTATGTATAGTCTTCTTTCTCTGTTTCTCATTTATTAAAGTTAGGAGAGGCCTCAGAGGCTCTCTAGTGCAACTTATACCTCAACAAGAATCCTCTCAACAACATAACCTAACAAGTAGTCATCTAGCCTTTACCTGAAGGTCTCCTATTGTTGATCAAGCCTAGTGGTACAGCAAAGAGAGATTCCCAGACTAGGGCAGTGCTCAGAAAAAGCCAAGTCAAGGAGAAGAAATGCAGTTTTTATGAGTAATTATTCTTTGAATTAAATGTATTTAAATAAACAATGGATCTTTGCTCTTAATTCAAATCCTCATTTCTATAACTCATACTCCCCTCTCTAAAATAAACTATTAGCCTACTGTTAAGCCCAGATCAACCCTCCTTCCACATCCTTACAAGCTGTTAGGACCACCACCCTATCTAAGGCTAGTAGTCCTGTGGGTTGCTGCCACCCTTCTCCTAAGCTAGCTACTTCTTCCTTACCTTTGCTCTAGGATGCCAGTGGCCCTTATGTCTTCCTCCTTTTTGCTGTTCTCCTGGTTGGCTTCTTTCTCTTCACCTACTTGAAGGTGCCAGAAACGAGGGGCCGAACATTTGACCAGATATCTGCAGCCTTCCGACGGACCCCATCGTTGCTGGAACAGGAGGTGAAGCCCAGCACAGAACTTGAATACCTGGGACCAGATGAGAATGACTGAGAGGCAGGGTAGAAGGTGACAAGTACACCTTTCCCCCTTCTTCTCCCTTAATTGAACTCTCCTCCCCAAAGCACTTTAAGTTTCCCTTTCCAACCCTCTCAAGGGCAGGAAGGAATATCTTAGGTCTGGTGATATTGGGGGTTAAAATTCATGGCTTGAATTCCCCCTCCCCCAAACCCGTTCCCTTTAGTGTGAATCTCTTGGATTATTTATCTATAGTGGTTGGGTTTTGGGTGTAAATATAGGCAGGGCTCTGTCCCCAACCTCCTCACCTACAAGGGTTCCCTGGTCCCTCTCTTTCCTTATCCTCAGCCTCAAATTTCTATTTCCTCCCGCTACAAAGAAGGGGAATAACAGAAATCCCTTAGAACTAACTTTTCCAGGTGGGAAAGAATAATATAGGTGTCCTGCCTTCCTAAAGAGCTTTGAAGAAGCCTAGGGCCTAGCACCCTAACTTAGCATCCCCTCTTGACTTCATACTGGCAGATTATCCCTCACGAACAACCTGACAAAGCCAAATAAATGGGTGGTAGGCAGTGGGGAGAATTCTCATGCTGAGAAAGCTCTAGGGAAGGTACTTCCTTTCACTCATTCTGTCATTTGGGGAGACTGTGCACATGGTAGGGAGAGTTTTAGGGAAGATACCTCCCTTCACTTCATTTTGTCCTTTGGGAAGACTGTGCACATAGTGGGGGAGAACTGTAGAAGAAATAGATACCTCCTTTCATTTTGTCTTTTGGGGAGACTGCACATGGTGGGGAACACTCTGGGGAAGATACCTCCCTTTATTCTGTCCTTTGAGGAATCCCAAATATGCCAGTAGGTATTTCTCCTTTGTGGATTCCCACTTAAGTTGGGGCATTGTCTCCCCCGAACTCACTCTCACCCTGAAGTGAATTTTGTACAGGTAGCCCTTTGAGCTCCTGACCAAAAAAAAAGAAAAGAAAAAAGTGGAGGCATCTGTTGGTGTAATAAAAAGGCTGACTGGGGCCTTAGAACATTTTTATATGTTTGTGTAGAGAGAAAAAACCAAAACAGATTATACTTAATGTATATATAAAGGTCACTATATAAAAGGCAAGTGTGCTACTTCTTTAAAGGGATGCAGAATTAAGAGCTGGCTCTTTCTCAACCCTGAGACAAATGTCAGACTTCTGCTAGTGTCTGCCCCATCCTCTCTGCCTGTCCCTTTAATACCTAGCCCAGCCTACTTTCTACTCTCACAAGCCTTCCTTTGATCCTGGGGCATGCTCTAGCCCCATAGCAATAGTTTGTACACCCACCAAGCAGACCACTTGGACCAATATTCCAACACACTCTTTGATCACTCAAATACTAACTCATCACCCTAACTTCTGGTCCTGAGAACAGAGCAGAGGCAGAAACACAGACAGCTGTGCAAATTTTTTTTTTTACTGGAGGCTCAGGTGGCACATGACATTTCACCAAATGGCTGGGGGAGGGAGAAGACCCAAAAAATAAACTGGGGGGGGGGGGAAGGGAGATCTGGCTCCAGTGGACAAAGGATGTACTCCCTTCCTTCCACCCTTGGGGGTGGGGGTGGTGGGGTCGAACCAAATCAAAAAGTTGTTCTACCCTCCTGGGTCCTGGGAAGGAGGGGATGGGGTGAAGGCCGCTGTTTCAATGTCATGGATTTTTTTGAAGGGGTGGGGGGAGGGAGACAGGGAAGGAGCAGTTGGAAAAAGCTGGCAGATACCTAAGGAAGAGAAACAAATCGGAGAGAAAAAGGGAGGTGTTAGAGAATATTTGAAGATGCTCCTTCCCACCCCCTTGCCCCCAACCCCTGGTCTTTCTATATGACCTCAGACCCTGGGATACTCAACCAGATAGCTGCTCTAGTTGTCCCCCTAGTTGGAATCATTCCAGTAAGGTGGTAGGGGAGTCCCCACTGGTTACAGGGGTTGAGGTCTGAAGGGAAAAGAATGATTAGAAGTAAGAAGTGTATTTATATAGCTAGAATGCCTAACCACAACTCACTCTTGACTGTTCTCTACTCCCCCTTGCCCAACTCTACACCTAACTCCCCCAATCCTATCCCCCCGGGTCCCACCCTATACCAGCCCGAAATTCACATCCACAAGCTGGTGCTGTGGCTCCAATCGGGGCTGGGAAGATGTGTCCGCAGGAGGTGGCATGGGCTTGACTGCCTCTGCTGGGGTCTCCCGATGGGTAGGGGCACCTGCTGGGGGTGGGCCCAGGGGTACTGGCTCTTTGTTATCGGCCTGCATGGAGGAGGACAGGGGAGAGGGCTGGTTTCAGCTTTCTCCTTCCTATCTTCATAACCCCTACCCCCACACATATAATTTTCCCTAGCTCTTACCTCAGGGGCTGCAGTCTGCCGGGGACCAGGAGGCTGTTGCCTCCTACGTTGAAAGTAAGGCCGATTTCGGGGGCGCTGGGGCTCTGGCCTTGAGTCATCTGTGGGACCCTGGCTGGGTTTGGTCTCTCCATCTCCGCCTTCCGTGGTGGGCTGCTGAGGAGGCCGAGGACGGAAAGGCCTGGGTTGTTGGGAAGAAAAACCTTATCAAGATTAGGGCGAGACATCTCTCCTGCCTGCCGCGCCTCACTATAGCTCTCTGGTCTTCCAGCCTACCTGGTTCTGCCTTGGAAAAGATATACAGCTGCTAATAAGCCACAAGTCATGAGCCCAAGCCCACAGTTTTGGTTCCCTCCTCTGAGCTAGCTTTCTTGCTCTTAAAAGTCTTATACCCTTAGAAGCTAGGCATGCTGCTTCCTAATTTCTTACCCCTAATCTCAGTCATTTATTGCTTTTCTTAGAGCTCAAAGTCCACTTTTAAGAAAACCAATAGTAACTGTAGAAGAGGAAAGGGGCTCATGGACACTGATAAATGCAAATCAATCTTTAGATATTATAGCTGAGAGGGAGAGGTATGCTTACCTTCGATACCTGGGTCGGAATCTGGGTGGAGGTGCCCGTTCATCTCCCTGCTGCTGGTCCCCTTCTAAGGGGGCTGGGTCTTTGGGCTCTACCCCATCTGTACCCTAAAGATATATAAAATTGGGGTTTGTGAATTTCCAAAATATATAAAGCTGGGGTCAGGTTCTACTTCCTAGAACCAAGACATCCTTAGCTTATCCTGACTGCCACAAAGTTCCACACAAAGAGCCAAGCAGCTTCTCTCTTCTCCCTTCCCCTCCCTCAACACCCCACCATGTTCCTCTTTCTGGTCATCTAGGTAGTTTAGTGCATAGAACACTGGACCCGAGTTCAAATTCTGCCTCAGACACTAGCTAGCTGTGTGACCCCAGGAAAGTCATTGGGAGTAGGATGCAATGATCTCTGGGGTCTCTTCTAGTCCAACACTTTTCTCCTAGGGCCATGACACTACTTAGTTCTTGGCTTCCTCCTTCTAGGCCTTTGCCCTTTAGGGACACCAGCAACCCAAACCTTCTCTCACCTCCATAGGCTGCTGCTGGTTGGAGGGCCTAGGGCCCCTAACAAAACGTCGTCGGTAAAAGAAGGGGGGTGGGCGTCGTCGGCGAGGTCGCTGAGTGGGGTCCTCGGCCCGTTCCCCTTCACTACCTGGTTCAGCTACCCCTGTAGGGGCCTCTGCCACCAGGGGTGGGGGTGCAGCAGGCCGCGGCCGAGGAATAAATCTACGAAAACGGCGTCGGTTGGGGGCATAGCGACTGCCCTTCACTGGTACTCCCCCTGGACCAGTCACATTAGCAGCTTCTGCACCCTGGGATGGAAAAAATCAGAACTCTTTCCCAACTCCAACTCCTCCCCTGCCCACCCCACATGACCCATTCAGAACACATCACTGACTTCTTATTCTTTTCTTAGGGCTAGTATCAGAGGGCACTAAAATTAATTTAGAACCTCTTCTTTAGCATCCCAACTCTTGATTGGAAGTAATAGACTGAGGCAGCCCCCATACCTTCTAGACTGGAAGAAGGGTCATAAAGTAGGGTACATGATAACCTCATGAAGTTTTGAGGCCCAGGATTACCCTTCCCTTAACCTTTATTCTTCCATGTTTCTAGGTCCTCCTGCCCCTCCATGAATCCCCCAAACCTTCTCTCCTTCCACGACATCAAACTCCACTGTTTCCCCATCCCCAACACTGCGCAGAAACTTCCGAGGGTTGTTTCTTTTAATGGCTGTCTGGTTGGGGAAAAAGCAGTGAGTAGAGCTGGGACAAGACAGGAAGACACAGATATCTTTTACCCATTAATATAAAATACCTATTGTCTTAATGCTCAATAAACTACATATTCAGGTATTTGTGGGGCAGGGAGAAGGATTTGCCAAAAGTGGACCAAAGGCCTCGAAACCTGCATCCCACCCAGACATCCTTAGGGATTTCCCATTAGAGAAATGTGATAATGTGTGAGAAGAGATGGAACATACAATAGAATGTAGATATAGCTAAGGTAAGATTCAGAGTTAGGCAGTTTGCTTTGGTGTCCATTCTATTCCCTAAATTTATCAATTCAATTTAGGTCATTTTTCCTCCCCAGTTAAAATATTCCTGTTATGTTCTGGATAGGTGGCAGCTAACCTGAGAAACTAATTCATGGTATATCAATGGGCATGAGAGGCAGTGTCGAATAGTGGATAGAGAGCTGGACTCAAAAGTTAAGAAGACCTGAGCCCAAGTCCAGCCTCTGACACATACTGGTTGTGTGATCCTGGGCAAGTCCCTTAACCTGTCAGTACTCTAGGTAAATGTGATTATAAGTTGAAGGTACTAAACCACATTGATAGAGGGAGTACTCTATTCCAATTCAATCACAGGCCCAGTCCCTATCCCTATTAACAGACACTACTCATTACTAGCAGGTTACTGTGAGTTAACAGAAGCCTTTGATGCTTTATAAGTGACTAATGATAGTTATTTCAGGCACTTGTCACAGAGAGGGCATAATGGGATTGGAGGCAATAGTAATAGCCTTTTTAGGGTTGCCATAGCACAGATTCCCATTCTGAGGATGTTAAAATTAAACAAGTAGAGATATTCGTTAAGTGACATTCAGAAAAGGAAATGATCCTTGTATCTTCTGATCCTACCTGAGAAGCAAGCCTGACTCTTACCTGGTGAACAAAGACATCCTCCTTGGTGTCATTCCTGTGAAATGGGAAGGGGCATCATTAGGGGGCTGAAGAATGTTTGAGGCTTTGAGGGTATACTCCAAATATGACTTCCCTTTGCCTGACCAATCAACTGTTATTTTCTTACCCAGTGTTTCTCAAAGGGGTTGTTTTTTTTGGGGGGGGGGGGGGTGGTCGCTGCAGGCATTAGGAGAGTATCAGCAGCTGTCTGGGGCTCCAGGTGGGAAAGGGTAAAGTCAGCTCAAGGTGTGGCCAGAAAGAGAAAGGGCACAAATCTACAACTCAGGTGGGAAAACTAGCCTTGTTGGAAACAAGCAAAGGCACCTTGAACCTGCCAAGGTGCCCAAGAAATGGGACAGCTCTCTGCTTGCTTCTGCCCCACCTTCTACACCCAGGGGCAACTCAAGAACTGGGTGGTGCTGGGTGAAGCTGTTCCTCCTCCCCCTTTCAAAGTGATTGGAAAATTCCACTCTGCCTCCTTCCTTCTTCCTTGCAGGAGGAGGGAGAAAGGTGGGGGCGGTGGAACAGGAGATGCAGAACAGGTTTTTTTTGGGGGGGGGACAAGGAGCCAGGAACCCTTACACCACTGCCCCCCCCCCCCCTGACCCCCGGTCTGTGGATGGATCTCAGGGTCAGGACATTCCCACTTGACTGGAAACCCTGGTGAGAACAAGTTGGAGAGAGATTTAAGTGAGGAAGTAGAAATACTCATCCATTGTCCACCCCTACCCTTGCCATAATCCTAATATACTCTATCTCTAGGCCTTCCCAAAGACTGGATGTTTCAGGCTCTAAGGCAGCTGAGCTTGCCAAAGGTCAGACTGCTAAGAGGCTGCCTGTCTCTCGGGGTCTTCCCGAGAGACAAACCGGGCAGGGTGCCGATGTTGGGGGAGAGCCTACTAGGGGAGATCTCACTTTTGACTTTCCTTTGTATTTAACATTCAGAGTCTTAACTGAAGTTTCAAAGGGGGCGGAGTAGATAACCTCCCGTTTTCACCTGATGGGAAGGAAGGTGTATCGTAGAATTAATACTGAGCCAATCATTCCTTCTAGAGATTACTGAAAAGGGGAAAGGAACACCTCCAAGAGGAAATTAAGGGAAGGTGGGGATCTTCCCGGCAGGGCTCCAAGAGTAGGAAAAGCTCTTCACACTTATCCTGCCCCCAAGGCACGGCAAATAAGAGGCAATTGGGCAATTCCAAGGGGGTGTGGCAGACTCGCAGCCAAGTTGGTGGATTCCTAAAGAATTAACCCTCTGCTGTAGGATAAAATAGGAAGACCGGGCTCGAGTAGGGAAGGCTTCATCTTCCATATAAGGGCGTGGTATTTGTGCAGTGGTTAAAGACGTTCAAATCCGCTTCAGCTGACATTTGGGGCAACCATGTGCCTCAATAAAGGGTCTGGATGAAGTTATGGATCCTCCAACCACACAGCCCAGTTTAGAGGACATCCCCACCCCTTCCCTGCCTTAGGTACCTGTTGATGAATCCATAACCATTTCGGACGTTGAACCATTTGACAGTGCCCAGAACTTGGGTTGCTGCCAGGGGGAGGTCCAAGTAGGGAGAATAGGGCAGGGGAAGAGAGATGGAGTTAGGCTCAAATCAGTTCTGAGCACACATCAAAGTCCAGCCCCACTCCTAAAACTACTCACTGCAGGACAGCCACACCTGCTTAGCTTCAGGGAACTATCTCCAACCAATTCTACTTCTTTGAACTTCCAAATGACCCGACCTGGTGCTCCACAGAGGTCCTAAGCTCCACCACGTTCAATTCCAAGGCCCCTCCCTCACAGTCATCGCTGCCCCTGCCCTTCCAGAGTCCCCCACCTTGGGGACAAGGGCCCCGGGGGGGGGGGGCGCTTGCGCCCAGCTGCTTCGCCCTAGTCCTTCGGCGGGGCTCCGCCTTCCTCCGAGCCTGGGCTCACTTGGCTGCTGACTCTTCCTGACCTTGGCCCCTCATTCACCTGCACCCTCAGCTCTACCCATCCAACCAGACCTTCCTCCCGAGGCCCCCTCAGGTGTCAGGCCCCCAGACCCGGCTCCCTCACCCAGCACCGGTTTGTCCGCCTGGCTTCGGGCGGGGGGGTGCGGGTGTCCCCGGGGCTGCAGTCGTCTGGGCGCCTGGGGCTGCGGGGCCCGGAGCTGCGGGGATCCCGGCGGGGGGCGGGGCGGGGGCGGCTCCCATTCCCCCTCCCATCCCGCCACCGCCAACGCCGGATTTCTGCAGGTCACCCCCGGGCGACACCACCCCGACCCCCGCCGCATCCGCCGCCGGGGCAGCTGCCGCCGTCTCCGCCTCGCTCATCCCGCCGGGTCCGGGTCCGGTACCGGCCCCCACCGCCTCCGTTGCCGCCGCCTCCTCCTCCTCCGCCGCCCCGGCCCCTCCCCCCCGCCCGCGCGCTCCCACTCTCGCCTGGCCCGCTTGCGCCCCGCCTCCCTGCCCGGTCCTCGCGCCCCGAGCCTCTCCCTAGCACCACGCCCCCTCCCCGCTCCTCGCCGCGGCCGCCGGCCAAGCCAATCTGAAGCTTGTGGAGAGGCTCCGTGAAGACTCCCTCTTCCCCGCCCCCCCAGCCAATACAGGACCAACAAGCCCAGCCCACGCGGTAGTCCAGACCGCTCCCACCCCCAGGCTTCGCACGTGAGGCCGGTTCCCTCGCACCCAGGACTATATCCCTGCCTTGGCCCCGCCCACCGAACTGGGTCACGTGGCTCGGGTGGGTCCGGTTCATTGGCTGGTAGGTTCTTTTCTCCCCTCCCCCCCGCCTCTCCTCTTCCTTCCCCGCTCCATCCCTTTCCCCCCGCCATGGGAAATCAAACCGACCTGTCATACGCCAACCGCCACCTGCCGGCCCAGTGAGGGGCGGGGCTCCGCGAGTTCCTCCGTTACCCCTGGCTACGGAAGAGAGAGAGGAAGCTGCCGCTTGTGTTCTGTGGGCTCGCGTTGCCCTACCTGTGGATGCGGTTCCTGGAGTCGCGTCGCGCCTCCGACACGCCCTTTCGCTCCGCGGTCTCTCGGGTCCAGCCCTCCCAGCGTCGGACCCGTGGCCGTAGTCCCCATGCCCCTGCCACCTGCGCCTGGGCACCTCAGCGCTGCCTTCTTGGAGTCGGGGGCGGGATGCGTGAGGAAGGTTGCACGTTCCAAACGGGGCCAGGGACTGGTCTTTGATAGCTGTGCCCAGGAGATGGAAGGAAAGGAGACTGGGGCCGTGGAACAGGTGTGGGGAACCTCAGGGTGGAGCTTAGAGACGTTGGGGTGCTTCCTGGAAGACCGGAGCACGAGGTATTTACGGACCTGGAGAATGAATGTCCTGCCACCGAAGCTCTTACTTTCGGATAATGCAAAAAATAAAAACAAAAAATAAATCCTTCGGACTAGAGTAACGCTGCTCAAGAATCATGATCAGTTAGCTGAAGAAAGTTGACCAAGCACCAAAAGTTGTCTAAATTAATCATGCTAGTTGGAACCGGATTCGTTCCAGAGATTGACATCCACTGCCTGCAGTCCTTGGTGCCTCTGGGTTTGGAGTGACCAGCCCTCGAAGCTGTCCCTTGCTCCCTCCATGGAATGCTCAGTCACCCCCCAGGACCCAATAGATTTGGGGTGGGTTGCTGACAACTAACTCTTCCTCCATCCTATCGCTGGCAAACTCCCAGCTTCTGCCTTTGCGTCTCCCGTCCCTGTGATTCAGTAAATGTTTACTGCAGCCAGCGAAAATGTTTTCACTCAGGTACTGATAGAGCTCCAGATACTCTCCCCTTTTTCTTCCTCAGCCCACACAATTAATAACTTCCTTTACCCTCAGGAATCCCAGGTGCATTGTTAACAAACTCCGCCTTTAGCCAAGCGCTCTTCAGCCGTACATTTAATTTGGAACTAACCGAAACCTGGCTCACTCTAGAAGCCTCTGTAGCTCTGTCAACCCTCAACGGTACTCGATGCTTTTTCATGCTCCCGGTGACACGGAGACACAGAGAGTGATCACACTCTCTGAAGTTTCCAGACTCTCCCCTTGCCGCTATTGTCAGCAACTTCTCTTTAAAGTTCAAGCCATCTTTAATTACCTACTTTAGATCTTTATTGCTGTCATTTACTAGATTCTAGAGAGAGGAAGAGAGAATGACTTGGCTCAGGATCTTCCTTGCCAACCCAAATACTGCATACATTCTTGCTTACTTGCTGATGTTTCCTCCAATATAGAGGCTTCCCAACATCAATTAAGATGAACTATACCTTTACTCCATTTCATTGACTATATAGTCCTACTCTTGATATCATCACCCAAACTGTGATATCTTCATGATTCAGAGTTTTTAATTCCTCTTTTTTTATGATAAACTTTTATCCAGTTTCTCCCACCTCCTTGTTTTTCTAGTACAAACATTTGATGTGACTGAAAACTGTTCTTCCCCTAGTCTTTACAGTGAATTGACCAATTCAACTAGACGCTGTCATCTACCTTTAAATCCCTTGCTTTGTTCTTTTGCCATTCCTATATTGCCAAACCCCAAGCTTATGTTTCCCCAACTAACAGCATTCTTCACTAATGCATACTCCTGTGCTGCTGAATGCCTCTGGAGAAAGTCACACAACTGTGCTTAATCTAACCTCAACTGTCAAATTTCAACTAAATCCTACATTGCTATGTGTTGATTTTATTCTTTTTAGAATCAAATATTATGAACACCTTATGCTACACTTCAAAAACCCTTCTGCATCATCCTATGTTCTTTGCTCCTTTACTCTGGTTTTTGAGAAAGAGGTGCCAAGGCTACCCATTCTACATAGGCCCTCAAATGAGTTCTCTCCTCTGTGAATTGTTTGCCCCCTTTAAGTGTTCTCTTTCTCATTTTCAATTGCTCCTTCCCTGTTGTTTATAAATATTTCTAAATCTCCTCCATTCTGAAACTTCCCCTTGATCCTGACACCTCCTTAAGGTATCTCCCTTTATCTTCCTCTTTTCACAGCCATGGGTCTAAAACTAGCCATTTATGTTCAATTGCCTCCACTCTTTAACTCTTTACAACCCAACTTCCAATCATAGCACTCTACTGAAATTGCTCTCTCCAACTGCTAAATCCAAAGGCCTTTATTCAGCCTCATTCTACTTAATTGTTCTGAGACTTTTGACACTACTAACCACTGGCTTCTGTCATACTGCTCTCTTTTTGTTCTCTTACCTTGTTTTTGCAGTCTCCTTTCTTGGATCATTGCCCACATCCCATCCCCTAATATTAGGTGTTTTGGACTGGATTCCTTTTTTACTCTACAGTCTATTTCTTGGTGAATTCCCATAGATTCAATTATTATCTCTACACAGATAAATCACTAAACTATATATCTAACCCTAATCTCTCTCTTGAGTAATCCAATATTACTAACTGCTTGCTGGACGTCTCTGCCTAGATGTCTCAAAAGCATCTCAAACTCAACTTATCTGAAATGGAATTCATAATCTACCCATGATCTAATCCTAACATTAATATTCCTTCACACTTCCTTATTTCTGTTGAGATCACCATCATCTTTCTTGTCATTCAAGTTTGAAACCTGAGAGTCAATTTAATTCAATGTTCATTATTTTCATTTGTATTTTTTGTGCTTTACATTTTTCTATTGACATATTTTATTTTTATACCTTTCATTTCCCAGTATATCCCTCCCCCTTCCCAGAGAGATTTTCCTTGTAACAAAAAGGATAAAAAGGACAAATCACGTACTATGTGTAGTTCAGCAAAACTAAGCAATACATCAGAGAAGACTGAAAATATATGCAATATTTCACACCCATAGCCCCCAACTGGGCAAAAGAGGTGAGGAGTGCATTTCTTTCCTCTTTAGGGCCAAACTTGATCGTTATAGTTACAACAATGTTCCACAAGCATTTGCAAGGCCCAGAGGATACAAAGACTAATACAAAACAGTCCCTTCTAGGAGCTTGCATTCAACCGGGGAAAACAATAGATATCCAAGTAGTTTGGGAAGGGTGAGGTACTAACCTTTAGAAGAGGAGATCAGGAAAAGCCTTCAGTAGGAGGTAGTACTTGGGTCAACCTTTGAAGGTTGAATTAGGGATACCAGGAGGCAGAGGTAGAGCATTTCAGGCATAAGACAGTCTGGGCAAAGATACAGAGGCAGAAGATGGAATGTTGTATATTGGAAACAGCAAATAGGTCAGTTTTTCTAGAATGTAGAGTATGTGAAGGGGAATAATGTGAAATGTTTCTGACTTCAACCAGACTGTGAAGGGCTTTCAATGCTAGACTTTGCATTTTTATAGAGGTAATGTTGTTGTTATGGGCAGTTTGGTGGCACAGTGGGTTAAGTGTAGGGCCTGGAGTCAGACCTGAATTCAAATTTGACCTCAGAATGGGTGACTCTGGGCAAGTCACTTACCCCTGTTTGCCTCAGTTTCTTCATCTGTAAAATGAGCTGGAGAAGGAAATAGCAAACCATTCCAGTAGCTTTGCCGAGAAAACTCCAACAACAATGTTTTAGTTCAGTTGTATCCAACTCTCAGTGATCCTGTGGACCATACTGTCCATGGAGTTTTCTTGGCAAAGATACTAGAGTGGTTTGCCACTTTCTTCTCCAGTGGATTAGGGCAAAGTTAAGTGACTTGCCCAGAGTCACATAGCTAGTGTCTGAAGGCTGATTTAAACTCAGGTCTTCTTGACTCCAGGTCCAGCACTCTATCCTTGGAGCCACCTAGCTGCCTCCCACAGAGGTAACAGGGAGTCAAAAATTGATGTACTTGATGTTCTTCGTTTTTTGAATTCTATCTCCTACCTCTGTTCCATGCCTGTAACGCCATTCTTGCACTTCCCTGCCTCTTCAAATCACCAGCTTCCCTCCAAGGATCAGCTCAGGCGCCACCTCTAGGTCTTTCTTGATCCTGTGTAGTTGTTAATGCTTTACCACGAAATTATTTTGTATTTACCATGTATATACTTTGTATTTGCTTATCTATGTTCATGTTGTATCCTTACCTCCCTCGAACTTGCCCCCCCACCCATAAAATGTAAGTTCAAGGATTGTAAATATAAAATGTAAGGCAAGGACTGTTTTTGTATTTGTATATCCAGTAGAGCACAACAAATGGTTGTTAAATTGCATTAAGTGAGTGATAGGATCTAAGAGGGGATAGACTTCGTGAAGAAGCAGAGGGGGTGAATGGAGAATGAAATAATGTTTATAAAATACTTCACAGAGTATATGCTGGCAAACAGTAGGCACTATATAAAACTAGCTATTATAGAGGCATCTAGGTGCCATGGTAAATGGAGCACTGGGCCTGTAGTTAGGAAGACCCACTTACCAGCTTTGTGATGCTGAGTAAGTTACTCTTGCCTCATTTTCCTCAACTGTAAAATGGAGTTATTGGCACCTACCTCTCAGGATTGTTGTGAGGATCAAATGAGATGATATTTCTAAAAGACCTATGTGCCTGGCTCATAGTAGGTGCTATATAAAAGCTAATTCTTTTTGCCTTCCCCAGCCGAAGTACTTGAAGAAGAGTTACTTCTTAGAAGGGATTGAGTTTTTCAGAGATAAAGAGGAGGCAGACAGCAAATAGAGTGGTAAAGGGACCAAGGGGGGAGAGGTATATAGACAAAGAGATTAAACTCAGGAGGGACCAAAACCTTCCTAATCTCTCTTGATAAGTGAAATCCCACAGTCGAGGCTAACTCAAAGGTGTAAGTCCATTGTTTACAAAGATAACAATCCAAAGAGTTTTGTCGATGATACCCAACTGTGGAGATATTAGATTTTCCATAAGGAGAAGGGGGAGGGGAGTAGTGCTGATTAAGGCAGTTCCCAGACCAATTT